GTAAATAAAAGTTAATCATGAATATCCATCCTCCTGAAAATACCTCCTTTTGCATGGACTTTTGTGTATGAAATGATGAACGACTTTCTTTCAATATCCATTCACAAAATGAGAACATATATATCCCTTGTTATCCCCATTTCAGCCTAAGTTTTTTTTCTTCTGATTCAACCCTAATTAATGATCACCCTCCACACTGGGGGCAAAAGTGAAGAAAATCAACTCGCAGAAGTGAAGACCATCAAGTCATGTCAAGTGAGAGATAATAATGAACCACAAGGTATATCAAATACAGAGTACAAAGATCGGATCAGGTTAAGAACAACAAAAGAGAAAATAAAAAAAGAGAGATAAAAAAGGGGAAAAGATGAAAAAAAAAAAAAAAAAGAAAATAACAAAAAGAAAAAAAAAAGAAAAAAAAAAGAAAAAAAAAAAGAAAAAAAAAAGAGAACAAATCAAGTACTTCAAGATGAGTGACTCATTGAGCCTCAAGCCACAAAGTTGATCAAGTACAAATGGTTTAAAGATCAAGATTCAACAAGAAAAGTGATAAATGTCGAAGATATAGGAAAATGATGATGAACTCTAGGGTGAAAACCCAAAAATTGGCAGTATGGAGGTAAGCATATTCAAATATGATAAAACAAGATTGAAGGCATCAGAATTAATTGTTCCTTGGTTTGATCACCTTTAAGTTGTTTGGGCCAATTATCCTTTTCTTTCGTAGCCGTGAACCGTAGCCTACATTACATGCCTAAAAAGTCTTATCTAATCATACATGGAGTTCTAAGCAGAAGAGACTATCTCATGATTAATTTTTATTGCAAAAGGTTTTTAAAATCTTTAATGCATGATAGGAAAAATGACAAAGGGGTTCAAGATGTAAAATTTTGAAAGACGTCTCGAAGCCAAATGAGGATTCAAGTTTAAAACCTGAAAGGCGACTCGAATATTAAATTGAGCAACTACGACATAAGTGGCGGTCTTACGAATCTCTTGATGAAGCACCCTACATCCCAAATGTGCTCCCGAGAGTTTGGAGCCGATGAGTATCTTTAAAAGATGAACATAAAAACCACTCCTCAAGTAAGTGGTCACCAAAAAACCAGATGTGCTATAATAAAAAGGCTAACCTGAGAGACCATCAGTAAGCCTTTTGAGCATGATGATTAAATCCTTCGGGTTATCTGTCAGTCTTTCGAGCAAGATGTTAAGTCCTTCGGGCCATCTATAAAACCTTCGGGCAGGATGTTTTCACATGATTTTCGAAAAATGAGAAAGACAATTTTCAAAGTTTCTCATTTAATATTTCAGAAAATTAAATCTTTGAAAAGTAAGAAAACAGTTTCCAAAATCTCTTATCCAGTAGACTATTTTCAAATTGGTAAGTCATTCGGGTCATCAATAAGTCTTTCAAGCATAATGATTAAATCCTTCAGGTTATCTGTCAGACTCACTTGAGACATCATCGAGATGGAACCGGAAAAAACGTGTAGTCTTTTTATCTTTGCCCTATTATTGTTAACACGAGCATGGGCAAAAAGGGGTAGTTGTAGACACCGTTTTATTCGGTTATTATTATTATTATTATTATTATTATTATTATTATTATTATATTATTATTATTATTATTATTATTATTATATTGTTATTATTATTATTACAGGTTTTTAGTTACATGCCCAAAACTGGGCCCAATCTATTACAACTCAACAAGCAAGCCCAAGACCCAAAACCCTAGAGTTTCCAACTATAGCTTCCAGTCGCCACCTCATCTCAACCATTGGATCTGCCTAGATCAGATCTAATGGTCATGATCTACCTAGATCAATCCAATGGTCATGATCCTTGGATGTTTAGGGTTTCACCCTAAACCCATCTACCAACGCGCGTTGATTCAGCTCCTCTCCACGATGGCACTAGCAAATCCCCCAATATCTAGGGCACTTAATGTTTAATCACTGTAACCATCTCTGTCTTGCTAGCATCTGACTAGCTGCTCCCCAACAGCGCCATCCACTCTCCAATTGGCAATATACATGAAAAGGCAGAAGAAAACAAAAAAAATATCATACTTTTATTTTTTCCTCTGTTGTAAACTGAAAAAGGAAAAAAATGCAGCCACCAGAAAAAATTTCATTTTTGGTGGGATTTTGTATTCAGATTATAAAACCCACATAAGCAAATGTAATAGGAGGATCTTTTTTTGGATTCGAAAAACGATTATAACAGGGAAGCTTCTTCCTCATTCGAAACAAGCAATACAAGAGAACCTTTGGAAAATATTTTCTTTTTCCTTTTCCCTTTTAGCAAAAAATCAAATAAAAATAAAACATACATTTCCAGCGAAAATAGATATGAATCAAGCAAAAAATAAAGAGTAGAGGTATTTTGGGGGGGCACGTTCTCACGTTTTTTTTGGTTTTTTATGCATACATGGGTCCTTCTTTTGTTTAAAGGGAAGTTGACTGCTAAAAAATAGAGGAAGTTCGATGGTCATAGGGGGTTCATTTTGGTAGCCCGACCACCGATGATGGTGGTTGGAGAGTGGTTACAACCGACTCACGGTGTTTGTGGGGGTTGAAGCTCTCGTTCGAAGGGAAAAAAAGGCTAGGAAAGAGACCTAGTGATTTGGCATCATTTTAGGGGACGATTTATCTCCCCCGATTAGTTAGGCGTTAACCGAAACATAAGGGGGGCCACCAATTTACGGTGGCCAGTGTGGGCGTGTGGTCTTTGTGTCCTTTTTGACCAGTTTCAAAGAGAAGCAAAAGCGAAATAAAAATAAAAGGGGAAAGAGAGTTAACCTTTGGTTTACCTATGAAGACACCTTAGAAGAGTAGGCTTCATAGGTGGGTAGAATTGATCGTGCAAGGCAGTTCCTGGTCGGAGTCCATTTCAGTCGGTTTTGGAGAGGTGACCTAAGGGGGTTTTCTTCGATTCTCAGTTTGTTCTTTCTTTTAGGAAAGGAGGGTTGGGGTTTCGATTAGGTTTAGGATTAGGGGTGTTGGCCACCCTAGGTGGTCATGGGGAGCAAGAACTCCAACGAGCGATTAGGGTAATTTAGGTTTAGTTTTAGGCTTAGAATATATTAGGTTTAAATACAAAGGGTTTTGGATTAATTACTCTTTAGCCACCGAAACTTTAGGGTAAAACTATTATTTAGTCCCCCAATCTTTAGTGCATTTTTAATAATAGTCACCTGTAGGGACCGTTTTCATATTTAGCCTTTTTTATTTGTCCCGATTTTCTTATTTTCCATATTTGTGTTTCAATTTTAATTTTTTGGGTTATTTATGTGTAAGTCCCTGAATGCTTAGCACATATTTACATTTTAATCACTTACTGAGACTTTTTCGTTGTTAGTTTAATTTTGATGTCCTGATTTTGAGATTTTGTAGATTTTTATTGTTAGTTTATTTTAGGTTTATTAATTTGGAATAATTATGCCTCGATCCTCCTAATTTCAACATGTATTTACACTTAGGTCACTGTTTAAATTCTCGAATTGCATTCTATATTTTAATGAGTATTTAATTTAGCCCCTTTCTACTTGTTGTTTTAATTTTTAATGCTTATTTTAATTTGAGTACCCTATTTTAATAATTTTCATTTTAATCTTGAATGTTGATGATGGTTTTATTACAATTTCAATGCCTAGTTTGTATGATACTTTTGTTTATAGCCATGATTTTGTTGCTTTTACAATTTAACCCTTAGAGTTACTATCTTTTTACTCCGGTTATTCATTGACATATTCATCTAATTTCCTATTATTTGCATTTAACTTCCTATATGTTTGGTATTTTGTTTAAGTCTCGTTGTTTCTCTTTATTGTAAAGGAACATCGTATTGAGATAACATGTTGTACAAGGAATTTATGAAAACGTACCTTAACTAATAAGGAGTTCGTTTACGAGAATTTTTCGTACAAAATAATATATGAATATATTTTGACGTACCATTGATTTTTTTTATAGATATTTATTAAATATATGTATTCTCCCTAGAAAAATTAAATAAATATTGTTTTGTATGGAAAATCCATAAAAATGCACCTTAACTGACAATGAGTGTGTTTTTTATGATTGTCCGTACGAAATGATGCGCCTTTTCAAAAAAAAAAATAGGATCACAATATAAAAGTATATTCGAATTTGCTAATTTCAATATTTAGATGACGTATAATCGCTCAGGTACCGATTTTGGGCGTTGTGGGAGTGTTCATCATTCCCCACGCGTAATCGACTTCCGAACCATTTTCAAAATGAGTTTCTAGTTAAACACAATCATTTTTTATCTTTTAAAATTATGTTTCTTAAAATTATTTTAAAGGATATTTTTAGATATTCAACATACTTAATCCAAAGGTCGATGGAGACTACAAATTTATTTATTTATTTATTAAAAACAATATTTTCTAAAATTAAGTTGGATCGTTATGCGCCATAGGCACACAAAAAATTAAGGACCGTTCCGACACCTTTATTACGGAGGCCACTTAAATATTAAATCAATGAATTTCTTCCATTTTCACAGTTTAAAAAATGGGTAAATCCGTTAAACCTGAACCTACCGTCGAGCTAACCAAAACCGCATCTGAAAAAATATTCTGAACTTTCCTTCGATGCCACAAAATTATTTGAAAAAAACAAGGTAAATTACACGTTTACTTACTAAATTTTACTCTCTCTTATTTCACTCACCGTACTTTTAATTTTTCAATTTTCTCATTTAACTTTAAACATTAAATTTTTTTATCACTCTGCGTTAATTATCTAAGGGTGTTATAACATAGATAAAATAAATTATTTTTTAACCACCAAATTCCAGATCAGAAAAAAATAATTAAATTAAATTATTTTTTAAGCTTTTCTCTTTCCCTTTTTCTTTCCTACTCAAAACCCGTTTCCTTCCATTTCTCTCTCATTCACCACCAACCTTATGGGGGTTTCGTTCAGGAGGATAGATAGGCCATATATATTTGACATCTGTCGGGGATGGAGATGAACGCGCCACCCTCTCATCTCGGTTTCCACATACCTGTTGAATGGGAACCCCATTTCCAATGTTAGATGTGTTGGCCTGAACGTCCTGATAATTGACAAGATAATGAAGAGCACGTTCAACATGTGTTTGCAAAGGTCGCAACTGCAATCTCAAAGTTCGAGCAGGTCACCGTCTGTACAAGTGCTTCTCAGTGGGCGAATGCACGAAGTCTGTTGCCACCATATATCAGGGTTCTTGAGATGAGCATGGATTACTGTTGGTTTCGTGATAATAGTCCTACTTTTGTTGTAAAGAAAAGAGAAGTAAATTCTGATAATCCTGAGGACATGGTTGCCGGAATCGATTGGAATTTCAATGGATGGGGAGGGGTTGATGATGGTTGTTATACAGATTGGAATCTTGACTTTCTTGTGGCAAAGAAGATATTGGGAAATGAGAGGCTTCATAGATTTCCATATCCAATGGTTATTGAAGGTGGAAGTATACACGTAGATGGAGAAGGTGATAAACCGATCATTTATTTGCGGAGCCGCTGCTGCCCTCATGTTCTCCGATCTCCTTCGACAAATGACTTGTTTTAAAAAAATTTAAATCCGAGTTCGAAATTAGTGAACTCAGTAAGATTACCCAGAAATGAAGATGGTGAACCGTTGAGGAAATTACAAGCGAGATAGAGAAATTAGAGAGTTCAAATCCAACAAAACTCAAACGAAAACCCGCCGGAGATTCCATACCCATAAAGATCAATCAAAATAACAGTATGATTCTGAGTTTCAGAGCTAATACCGATCCAATTACACGAGCTTTGATCGGGGTTCAAAATAACCCAATCACGGAGCTTCCCATTCGGATCAACGATTTGGGAATTCTTAATCCGACTCAAGATTTGAGAGTCTCCATTAAAAGAGACCACAAAAGGTAGAGCAAAAGAAACCCAGAAAACGTAGAAAAGCAAAGTTTCAAAATTTGGATTTCTCATTTCAAAGCAAAAGCAAGAACAAAAGCATGGCTTGGGTTTTAGGGCATGAATGGTGGAGGGTTTGAAGAAGAGAGGGATAACTCCGAAGAGGGTTGGGGTTGGAAGATGACGGCCAAAACGGGTGGTGAAGTGGATGAAAGTTGTGGTGATATCCATTGAAGCATCGCCATTTATTTGTTTGGTTGATTTTAACAAAGGAAAGAGAAGGAAATGGAGCAGCAAAGAAGGTTTGACTTATCGATGTGGTCAATCTGATGAGGCACTTTTAATATTAAATAATTTCACGTTATATTGTTACTGAGTAACAATCAAGTGAAAAAAATTAATGTCTAAAATTTAATAAAAAATTTAAAAAATAAGTATGATAAATAAAATAAGATATAAAATAAAATTGAGTGAAAAAAAAAAAACAACAAAATCTCACAAAAAATCACGCGCTAACTTCACAAACAAAGTCCCAACGCTCTTTACCTTTGCTCTCTCTCAGTTTCAAATTCATTTCCACTCCCACTCTCCAACATCCCTTCAACATAATGGCTTCTCTCTTACGCGCCAGTCTACGCTCCTCCACTCCTATCCCTTCCCACCACCATAAACCCGCTCTCATCGCCGCACCGAAATTGTTTTACCAAAGAATTAGGAGGAGGGGGACAAGGCTGACGGTTATTAGAGCCGTTGATGGTGGTAGTTCGTACCTCGGTATGTGGAGGAAAGCGAAGGAGAGGGAAAAGAAGGAATCTGAGTTTCAAAAACTAGCTCAGAATTTGGCCGATGATAGAGGCGGCGGCGACGGTGGTGAGAAGAAAGAGGTTTTGGAGAAGAAGAGCGAGGAGTTCCAGAAGATTTTGGAAACTCCCAGGAGGAAAGGGATCGGATCCAGAGAATGCAGGTGATTGATCGTGCTGCTGCGGCGATTGCGGCGGCTCGCTCTTTTATCAAACAAGGATTCTTCGGGAAAGGATGATTCCAAAGACGAAAACCGCAAAGCATTTAAGGTTCAAGAAGACGGTATGAACTAAAATCTTCTGTAGTTGTAATTTTAAATTTTAAGTAGATTGAAAATTATAATAAAATTATCACTGTTATATCTTTCTCAGTGAAGTGAATCTTAATTTAACAGAAAGCAGAGTGGGAGCATTTTCGTTAGTCAACCGGCCAATTCTGGAAATGTAACACCTGGTCCAGATTTTTGGTCCTGGACACCTCCTCAAAGTACTGATCAGATTTCAAAGTAAATGGAAGGGCCGCAGGTTGCTAGACAAACTTCGGAGCTTCCAATTTCTAGCCCTCCGGTTTTAGAGAAAGATCGGTCTCTTGGTTTTCTCCCTATTCCTTTTGAGAGGAAAGCTTATGAGACATCCCACAATCTTCCACCGTTTCAGTCACTGGTAGAGGTTGATAAAAAAAAGTATCTGTAGAAGAGACTTCTTTAAAAGTGGAACATGACCTTGAGGTCGAATTTTCTGCACATGCTGCTGAAGCAGCTGATGCCATTCACAAGGCCAGAGAATTATCACCCCAAGGAATCAATCAAGATGGAACTACATGGTGGATGGAAACAGGAGTTGAGCAAAGACCTGATGGTGTGATTTGCAGGTGGACAATGATTCGGGGTGTTAGTGTTGACCAAGCTGTTGATTGGCAAGAGAAGTATTGGGAGGCCTCCGATGAATTTGGTTACAAAGAACTCGGTTCTGAGAAAGCAGGACGTGATGTTTTTGGGAATGTATGGAGTGAAAAGTGGAGAGAATCGATGTTGCAGGTCAGTAAAATCAGCGATGATACAGTTCTCTTGACACTTTTTTTTTTTGCATTGTACCTTCTAGAGTTCATATCTCCATATTAAATTGTGTTATAATTATGAATTTGGATCATCCATAGAGTATATGATCCATCTAAGCTCCAAGTATGTATGTTGAGAACCCTGCATATCGAGTGGTTGGGACCAGAAACTTGTAGAACTGTAGTAAAATAATCGAATGTGAGATGAATCGCTTGTAGGTTTAACTCACTCGGCTATACACAACTTGATTATAGTACTCGAATTTCTTTATTTTTCGGTGGTTGGTTGTAGTGGATGATAGAAATGTGGGTTTTGGATACGTTCAAGCATAACTTAACAAAAATATGTAAAAAGAGCTGTTGTCACGAGGCTAAGAGAAACTGAAAGTGTTGCCTGGTGCAGGAGAATGGACTTGCGCATCTTGAAAAAACTGCTGATAAGTGGGGAAAGAATGCCGAAGGTGCAGAGTGGCAAGAAAAATGGTGGGAACATTATGATGCATCTGGGAAATCTGAGAAATGGGCTGACAAGTGGTGCAGCATTGTTCCGAACACACCCCTCGAGGCTGGTCATGCTCATGTTTGGCATGAAAGGTATTCAACTACTTATCTAGTTTGATATGGTTTTGCACCTTTTCTATTTTTCTTTATTCAGAATTTGTTCTTGGTTGCAATCTTAAAATGCTTAAATACCTGTCTCGTGTCATTCAAAGTTTGTTTGAGATTTTGTCGAACGATTTGTATGATATCATTCAGGTCCTCTTTTTCCGTTGACAGAACCTTCTATCCTGATGTTTTTGATTTAATCATTCATAACTTGACTTAATAACTGAACCAATGAAAACATTGCCACTTTGTTTTTGCAACATTGGCAGGTGGGGTGAACAATACGATGGATATGGTGGCAGCGTGAAATACACTGACAAATGGGCAGAGAGGTGCGAAGGCGATGGTTGAGCGAAATGGGTTGACAAGTGGGACGAGCATTTTGACCCCAACGGGCATGGTGTAAAGCAAGGGGAAACAGGGTGGCAAGGGAAGCATGGAGATCGATGGAACCGCACGTGGGGAGAGCAACACAACGGCTCCGGATGGGTTCATAAATACGGGAAGAGTAGCAGTGGGGAGCATTGGGACACACATGTGGAACAAGAGACTTGGTATGAAAGATTCCCACACTATGGTTTCTATCACTGCTTCGACAACTCCGTGCAGCTGTGGGAGGTTAAGAAGCCATCTGAGATGTCTGAATAGTAAAAGTTTCGTAGAAAAAAAATAAGTATTGCTGAGTTTGTATATGGATTGCAGCTTCGAGTCAAACACGGAATCGCTTCATCCAACAGGTTTGAGATTCGAATTCTAATACATACACGATTATTTTCAAATCTTATTTGAATGCTGAAATGAGGAGCTTTTATATCCTTTATATGTGGTATTTCATTTATCAAAGTCACCCATTCCAAGCCTCTATTACTTATATATGGTTTTTAAAACCTGAACCCACAGCTTATCTTCATTCCATAATAATTGGAAACTTATTTTCATATGGAAACGCTTTATTATGTCTCCAAATGCTTCAGTAAACAACAAAAAAACAGTCTGCAAAGAAAAGATGAGAGATCATTATGATTCGATCTAATTCTTCTCCAACTTCTCGTATTAATCTGTTCTTAAATAACATAAGCTAATCTTTATATACACAATACAAGTAAATACGGAGATAAATGATCGCCTTATCCATTATCCGATACCCTTTGTTGGGTTGAATATCATTTTCTCATCCTACATCACCTGTACATATATATATAGACTTAAATATAAAATAAGCGTCTAAATTATACCATTTTTTCACGAATATGTGCCAACAATGCTTTTTGAATCGTTCAGGTGTTTGACATTACAAACGTTATCACTTTATGTGCAAACACAATTAATTTTCTCCGCTAAGTGACATGTATCATATTCTAGTAATTTTGATTTTTTTTTAAAATTAAAAAATATTGTTATATTTATAAAAAAAACCCATAATTTCTCTTAAATTACAAAACAAAATTCATAAAATTCTTAAATCCTAACTTTAACCCGCTACCGTCGATTTAGTATCTGTCATCCTCCTAGTCATACGTCATTGTAGTTGTCGCAGATTGACTATCGAAATCGCGTGAGATTGTGATTTTCATCCTAGGGTTCGTGGGGTACAAAAAGTCGATTGGTTTAGGGGTTGAAATGAAAGTGTTCAAAGTTTTAGGGCTATTTCAAATTTTATGTTTTTAAATATATAATTTTAATTTTTAAAATTTGAATATTTTTTTAAAAATTATCAGAATATGACACGTGTCACTTAACGGAGGAAATTAATTGTGTTTACAATCTAGGCACATAAAGTGATAACATTTGTAATGTTAGGCACCGAGATCATTCAAAAAATATTATAGACACCTATTTGTGAAAAACAATATAATTTAGAGGCTTATTTTATATTTCTATAAAAAATTATGATAAAAATAGATAAAAATTATAAAAATATATGGTAATTTAATGCTTTTATAGGACGTCTGCTCTTGTATGTTTCTCTTTAATCTATCACTGCATACTTAGATACAAAAGTTATACACACATGAGTGAATGATATTTTACTTTAGGATGAATTTGTCACGTTCGTTGAACACCATTAACGATGAGTATTATTAACTTAATTTATAAAATTTTAAAATTCTAAAGAACACAACGTATAATTATAAATTAGTTAAAATCATATGGTAAATTATTTAAAATAAAATAGTAATTATATTATTTTTCATAATTTTTTGAGTTAAATATACCACTGACCACCTAACTATTGTCATTTTTCATTTTAACCACTATTTTTTAAATTTTATCAATCGGGTCATCCAACTATAAAAATACATTCGGTCAAGCCACTTGACGTTAACATTTAACGGAAATGTTGATGTGGCAGTTAATAAAATTGATATAGTTACATATTTGATATTTAATATTCATAAATTCTATCAATTTAGTCATAAAATTTAATTTAATAATTTTAATCTCTAATTAGATGATTACTCACCACTTTATTTGATATGCAAAATGCATATAATATAATTTACTTCTAAGGGTATCAAACCAATGACTTGTAACACACCAAAGCACGCTTAAACCACTAAGTTAAACCCTTCACTTGGTAATTGTTTACAATTTTTTATATATGAGTTGTTATAACTAATGTCAGAGAAAAAAAAGAAACTGACATACTTATAAAGGGTTTCAAATCCTATATTTGATTAAAATTTACAATATATATATATATCTAATTGCGTTTTTCTTAGAAAAAATAGATTTTTTATTTTTAAATTATTTATTCTTTATATATATTAATAATTTTAATTAATGATTAATTATAAAGAAATTATATAAATATAATTAATTTGTTAAAAAATTAAAATTATTCTTTAATTATATAAAATAAATATAGTTGGATGACCTGTTTGACAAAATTTAAAAAAACAGTGGTCAAAATGGAAATGGGTAATATTTAGGTGGTCAGTGGTATAATTTAGCCAAAAAATATTATGAAAAATAATGCAATTAATTTTATTTAAATAATCTACCTTTAGATTGTTTACAATTTTTTATATATGAGTTGTTATAACTAATGTCAGAGAAAAAAAAGAAACTGACATACTTATAAAGGGTTTCAAATCCTATATTTGATTAAAATTTACAATATTATATATATAATTATCTAATTGCGTTTTTCTTAGAAAAAATAGATTTTTTTATTTTTAAATTATATTTATTCTTTATATATATTAATAATTTTAATTAATGATTAATTATAAAGAAATTATATATAAATATAATTAATTATGTTAAAAAATTAAAATTATTCTTTAATTATATAAAAATAAATATAGTTGGATGACCTGTTTGACAAAATTTAAAAAAAACAGTGGTCAAAATGGAAATGGGTAATATTTAGGTGGTCAGTGGTATAATTTAGCCAAAAAATATTATGAAAAATAATGCAATTAATATTTTATTTTAAATAATCTACCTTTAGATTTTTAACTAATTTAAAATTATACGTTGAGTTCTTTAAATTTTAAATTTTTATAAATTAAATTAATAGTATCATTGTTAGTGGTGCTCAGCGATGCTCGTCGAGCGTTATAGAATTTTTCTTTACTTTAATAGATAAAATGAAACTTTAAACAAAAAAAAAAGATATTTTCTTAAAAATATAAATATAACATTAATATTTATTATAATTTAGAAATATTTACAACAACAACAACAACAAAATCTTATTCTCATATGCAATAGGGTAAGGGGGAGGTAGGGTAGTAGGTTACCCACAACGTCAAGTTGAGAGCAGCTTCCGTGGAAGACCTCCGGCAGTCTGAAAATTAAAAATAAATATAAAACACAATGCATGTATAAATAAATAAATAACATAGTTGAACAGTCTTCATATGCGCGTCTGTAATGGGAAGTAATCCCTGCAAATAAATCCATGTGTAAAAATCTCTGTATATAGATAGGAATGTAAGTCCCGGCTAAATTTTAAAAGATGAAACATGAAGGATACACAGTAGTCAACGATAGCGAGTTACTAGAAGGAATAAGTCAAATGGGTTACCACCTAAACTAAGGCAACACTACTATGCTACCCTAGTTCTAAGCCCTTATAAATTCCAATGACAGAAACGTATACAAAGTAGAAGTTATGGAAATTACTACAAAGTCAATAAAAAGAAGACAAAGATGCTACACCCTATGACTGTGACCCACACTACTCAGCTACCCTGGTCTTAAGTCTCCATACTTTCCTGTTAGAGGTCATGTCCTCGGTAAGAGCTAAATCCTTCAAATCAGATCTCAAGCAGTCTACCCACTTCTTCCTTGGTCGTCCTCTCCTTCTGGCACCGTCAGCTATAATCGACTCTACCCACCTGACTGGATCCGACTGTTGTCGCCTAAGGACATACCCAACCACCGTAGTATTCCCTCCCTCAATTTTTCGAATATAGGCACCACCCCCAAGGACATCCTAATTGCAGAGTTTGGTGTCATGTCCTATAGAGTCTTACCACATACCCAACGAAGCATTCTCATTTCTGCGGCCTCCATCCTCCTTATGTGATCCTTCTTGATTGCCCAACATTCTGGCCCTCCCTTTTTCAAGCTCTACACATGCTCGAACAAGAAAAACGCTCTAACAAAAAGTGTAGTCAAACTTTTCTGATATAATTAATTATGTTTTATTTAATACCTCATAAATAATTATATTTTTAAAAAAATTGAGAGCATTCTTTAATGGCTAAAATGTACGTTTATTACTTAGTTTTGGTCTATTTTAATATTTAAACTTTTATTTTTTTCAAAAACATACCTAACCTTTATTTTTTGTTTCGTTTTTAGTACCTCACCGTTAAAAACTTAATGAGTGATTTGCATGTAGTATCTTTTTTATGGATAAATTTCACTATTCATCATTCAACTATCTTCTCACTCCTATTTTGGTCATTAAAGTTTAATCTTTTTAATTTAATTACCTAACTTTCAAATTACTCCTAATTTAATCACTCTAACTTTCAAATTTATTTTTTTATTTTTAATTATATATTGATGAAATAATAATAATAAATGTAATTCACAAAAATTATTAATAAAATACATTACAGTGATTAAAATAGGAACAATTTGAAAGTTGAGTCGTTAAATTGAATTGTTTTTAAATTTTAGTACCAAAATAGGAGTTAGAAGATAGTTGAGTGATGAATGATGTAATTTACCCATAAAAATATTACAAAAATGAAAAAAATAGGCATAGTTTTGGAAAAATTGAAAGTTTAAGTATTAAAATAGATCAAAACTGATATGTTAGGTATTAAATTCGTAATTGACTCTTTTTTAATGAATTAGGATTAACAGATAAGATTGAAAATAGATCTAATCTAAAAGGAAAATTAAAAAGAAAAAAAAGAATACAAGGCCGACATGCATTTATTAATTATTTTACTAAAAAGCCAGCAGCTGCCATTTTGTTTCCATTCACAGCGTCAAAATTGGTCAAAGTTAAGTCTTAATGCCCAAGATCTGTAATAACTAATAAGTTTTCATTGGCCCAGTCGCCGCGTTTCCACGTCTTATGTATGTATGCAAATTTGCAACTACTTCTATAAAATATAAATATTGCTGAATTTTTATTTAATCATTTATCGATTCTTAAATTAAATATTTATAAATTTTTTTTAATTATAATATAATGTATATTTTTTATTAAGTAAAAAAATATTAAATTTTAAGGTAAATATCAAGATTCGGACTACATAAAATGTGACAACATGAGCATTCTTAATCATTCGACCAATTAATAGATCTCAATGTAATATTTAATTTTTGATTCGTTGTAATTATACACATAAAACATTAATTTTGATTCAATTATTTGTTTCATCTAAAAGACATTGACTCTATCGAATCAGATCAAAATTCATTAATTTTGGAGGTTTATCCACTAATATAGACTTGTTGATTGAACTATTTGATCAACGGTTGACGTTGTTCATTGTGCAAGGACGGATGACTATGATTCGGATTGAGTTTTTGGTCTAATCGAATCAGAACCTAAAATTAAATTTCTCCACTTATATCGAATCAAAACTTGCATCTAATCCAACTTAAATATATTTAAATAATTTTTATTAGGTAAAATAAGAATCTAATTGAAAAAAAAAACATAAAAATAATATTTTTACAATTATTCCTAAATATATAAGTGAGATATTAGTTCGAACTGAATCAAATTTTTTTCACTTTAAATCTGAACTCACCTTTCACAAAAAAAAATATACAACACAAGTTTGAATTTTTAAAATAGAAAAACAACAAAACGCGTCAAATTCGGATGAAATACTCATCCCTAACCACGAATACCAACTCAAAGAGCAGTGTGTAAAGAATAGACGGTGAAATTAAAATGAACTAAAATTAAGAGTTGTAAGCAGATATTTACCCAATTATGTTTTTTAATAATAAAAAATAGGAATATGCTTCGTCCCTGTCGTTGCGTGGTGAACTAACCGAAGAATTGAGGCAACTTCCGAGAACCATTGTCTTCCTCCGTTGACAAAAACACAGCAAAAAAACAGACATTTACATATCAATTACGCATCATTCACACGGCCCCAGTTTCGTTTCACTATAAAAACTACATGCATTCGCCATTACCACCATATCACCTTCAAGTTCCCATTCTCAACTTAATCTTTGTAAACCAGAATTCACTAAACCTTTGTTTCCTTTTCTATATCATTATCTTCTACCTGCATCCTGTTTCTGTTCCTTTATTTTTCAATGACAACCATTCTTAAATCAAACCTGCCTTGCTTTGATTATGCAGTCCAAGTCCCTGTCACCACCCTCAGTAAACCCAGAAAGAAATGGCACTCCCTTTTCCTCACCATATATTGTTCCAGAAAGTTTTCATCTCTTGTCGTCAAGCCCCCGACACTCAAACACGAAACCGATGTCGTTTATCGATCACCGTCTTATGTTTCACTCGCTGTCATGCCGGAAAACAGTCCTTTCCCAATTGATCAAACGACTCTCGTTGAACTAGTGAAAGAGAAGAAGCTCCAGAGATTGCAGAAACATGGTGGGGTTAACGGTGTGGCTTCTGATCTCGGAACCGACACTCAGTTCGGTATCTCCGGTAGCAGCGAGGATGTCGTTTCTCGACGTGAAGCATTCGGTTCCAATATGTACAAGAAACCACCGATGAAGGGCTTTTTCCATTTTGTGATTGAAGCATTTAAAGACCTTACTATAATGATTCTTTTAGGATGTGCTGCTCTTTCACTTGGGTTTGGAATCAAAGAACATGGCCTCAAAGAAGGTTGGTATGATGGTGGAAGCATCTTCGTTGCTGTGTTTCTTGTTATTGCTGTTTCAGCAATAAGTAACTATAGGCAAAATCGGCAGTTCGATAAGTTGTCGAAAGTCAGCAACAATATTCAGATTGATGTTGTGAGAGAAGGTCGACGTCAACAGATTTCAATATTTGATATCGTTGTTGGAGACATTGTGTGCCTGAAGATCGGAGATCAGGTTCCGGCTGATGGCTTGTTCTTAGATGGCCATTCACTGCAAGTAGATGAATCAAGCATGACAGGGGAAAGTGACCACGTTGAAGTAAATGGAAGCCGAAATCCGTTCTTATTGTCAGGTACCAAGGTGGCTGATGGATATGCTCGGATGCTTGTTACATCGGTTGGCATGAACACAACATGGGGCCAAATGATGTGCCAGATCAGCCGTGACACCGATGAAGAAACACCTTTACAAGCACGTTTAAACAAGCTCACCTCATCGATCGGTAAAGCTGGCTTAGCGGTTGCTTTCCTGGTTCTTGTGGTTTTGTTGGTTCGTTACTTCACAGGAAACACAACAGATGAGAAAGGAAATCGGGAGTTCAATGGAAGCAAGACGAAGACTGATGATATTATCAATGCTGTTGTGGGAATTGTGGCTGCCGCCGTTACTATTGTCGTTGTTGCGATTCCTGAAGGATTGCCATTGGCTGTCACACTGACTCTGGCTTATTCGATGAAGAGAATGATGGCCGATCAAGCAATGGTGAGAAAGCTCTCTGCCTGTGAGACAATGGGATCTGCCACCACAATATGTACCGACAAGACAGGCACTCTTACACTCAATCAAATGAAAGTTACAAAGTTTTGGCTTGGTCAAGAATCTATGAAAGAGGAGGGTGCTTCTTCAGTTTCTCCATTTGTTGTTGATTTGATCCATCAAGGAGTTGCTTTGAACACTACTGGCAGCGTTTATAGAGCTTCAACAGGAGCAGAATTTGAATTCTCTGGTAGTCCTACAGAAAAGGCAATCCTTTCTTGGGCTGTCATGGAAATGAGGATGGATATGGAGAAGATGAAGAAGAGTTGTGCTATACTTCATGTTGAAGCCTTCAATTCTCAGAAAAAACGAAGTGGGGTTTTGATTGGGATGAATGATGATGACACTGTCCATGTTCATTGGAAAGGAGCTGCTGAGATGATTCTAGCAATGTGCTCAACCTACTATGACGCCTCTGGAGTTGTCAAAGATCTCAGTGAAGACGAAAGGACGAAATTCGAGAAAATTATTCAAGGCATGGCAGCCAGCAGCCTCAGGTGCATTGCTTTTGCCCATAAACAAGTTCCGGAAGAAGAGCGCCGAAATCTAGAAGTGCAGAAAAAGCTTAAAGAAGATAGCTTGACCCTGTTAGGGCTGGTGGGTATAAAGGATCCATGCAGACCTGGAGTGAAGAAAGCAGTGGAAGATTGTCAATATGCAGGAGTAAACATCAAAATGATCACTGGTGACAATGTTTTCACTGCGAGAGCCATAGCTACCGAATGTGGGATTCTCAAGCCCGGTGAGGACATGTCTAGTGGCATTGTGGTAGAAGGTGAGGAGTTTAGAAATTATACACCGGCAGAAAGGATGGAGAAAGTTGAGAAAATCCGAGTCATGGCAAGATCCTCTCCCTTTGATAAACTTCTCATGGTGCAATGCTTGAAACAGAAAGGGCATGTAGTTGCAGTCACCGGGGATGGCACAAATGATGCACCAGCACTCAAGGAAGCAGATATAGGTCTATCAATGGGAATTCAAGGCACTGAAGTGGCGAAAGAAAGTTCCGATATCGTCATCTTGGATGATAATTTCGCTTCGGTCGCCACAGTCTTGAGGTGGGGAAGATGTGTTTATACCAACATCCAGAAGTTCATTCAGTTCCAACTTACTGTAAATGTTGCAGCACTATGTATCAACTTCGTAGCAGCCGTGTCAGCAGGTGAAGTCCCTCTAACAGCAGTCCAGTTATTGTGGGTGAACTTAATCATGGACACATTGGGTGCATTGGCTCTTGCCACTGAGCGACCTACAAAGGAGTTGATGGAGAAACCACCCGTCGGTCGAACCGAGCCACTCATCACAAATATCATGTGGAGGAACCTACTAGCTCAAGCCTTATACCAGATAGCTGTGCTTCTTACCTTACAATTCAGCGGAGAATCAATCTTTGGGGTAACAGAGAAGGTAAACGACACATTGATTTTCAACACTTTCGTACTTTGCCAAGTCTTCAACGAATTCAATGCGAGGAAGCTCGAGAAGAAGAACGTATTTGAAGGGATACACAAGAATAAGCTGTTTATAGGAATCATTGGGATAACCATTGTTCTTCAAGTGGTGATGGTAGAGTTTCTGAAACGATTTGCAGATACAGAGAGGTTGAATTGGGGACAATGGGGAGCATGCATAGCAATGGCAGCAGTTTCTTGGCCTCTTGGTTGGGTTGTCAAATGCTTACCTGTTCCAGAGAAACCCATTTTCAGCTATCTCAAATGGAGGAAATAGGACAATCATCATAATTCAGAATTCAGAATCATTGCTATTCAGTTCTTACACATTCATATTCTTTTTGTAATTAACACTGTAATGTTTGTAGTTTCATTACATCATCTTTACATATTACAGATGTAATTATTATTTTCCACATTAATAAGATAACAGTCATTCTTTAAACCTTGGGAAAGCTTCAAATTTTGTTTTTGATATTAACAGTGCTCCTTGTTCTTATTAAACTCGGCAAGCTAATATACGCGGCCGATGCTGCCGACAAATGATAAAAGGGAAGGAAAAGAGATTACTTCTCTGTGTTAAGTCGAGCATTTCAACAAGCAGATTACGTGCAACATTGAAAACGTAATGACGGTGCAAGCAATGAATAAATAGACAAACTGCAAATTAATGTGATTAAGAAAAACAAACCACTTAAAGCTGGACCACAAGCGTGGACGCAATGAAGAAGGAGAAGGTCAAAGAGTTGAAAAAGGTGACGTTATCACCATTGTCACTTGGCCAATTGTTAGTTCCCACTTGGCAGAGAAATTGAGGAAGGGAAATTCTGTTTTTTCTCCCCAATTCTATTTGAAAAATCTTAACCCCAAAATATAATTAGATATGTGTAGGATTGATTCCAATATAAAATTCTTGAGTCTTGATTGATTTGATAAAAATATTTTATACAAGTACGTATTGATAATATAAATGTATATTAATCAATATGATCGTCTCAGACATTTTTTTAGTCCTTAAACTAAAAAAAATGCCCCCAATAAAATGAATGATTATTCTATGGCAAAATGGCTCTAATATTGGTTTGATTTCCCCCCCCCACCCCCAAATAATCCATCCCACTTATTATTTTTCAGATTAGTGTATTTGTTACAATAAATTTAGAAGATGAATAGTTTTCTATGCTACTTAGAGGTGATTTTAAGATTGTTGCACGTTTCCTATCACTTTTTTTTTAAACATGAAGACACTTGGTAATCCATGCATTTTTCAACAGAGAAATAAAGCCGCGTTATGTTTCCGACATATTCCTCTTGGTAATATATCAATGACTATAGTTTAAGAAATAATACGGTGGATGTCTTATATAGAGAAATATTTTTTATCACTACCTTATAAGGGGAGGAAGCCCCTATTCCATTATTCTAAATAATTAATTTAATATTTCATTAATTTGAAGTTGAATAAATTAATAAGCGAGGGAGGAAAATGAAGAGAAATTTAGATTTTTTGAGATTGAGAGACAACTCACGAAATGTCGAGACAATAAAACTATAAAGATAAAAAGTAAAGGCCTAAATTGGAGTGCATGATGCTCTACAAGTGAAAATATATTTAGTAGGCGTACATATATGAGATAAAAGTACATAACATGTGTAGTAATAATTAAGATATTTATAAAATTAAAAGTATCAACTTTACTAATTCGATTATATGTAAATACTTAGTTTATATTTATATGTATATAATATATATAATGCGTGATAGTATTATTATATGATATATAAACTAAAATACATGTTTCAAACACTTTCAATATGAAAGGATGCCTATATGATATTTAGAGTTTAGTTTACTTAGTTTACCCCTTAACTACCACAAAAATGATATTTTTTATTTTTACACATGACATAGCTTGCAAGAAAGCTTATGATAAGAGATGCAATATCAGTTGAGTAATTAGAGATAATTTCAATCATTTTTAAGCAGACGACGTGTTATCAAAACGAATTAATTTTTTAATGTAGATATAAGAATTTTCGAGTCATTTTAATATTCGTCTTGTTATATAAATTTTTTTCTTTTATCTCATTCTTATTTTTCACATTTTATCTTCTAATTTCTCATATTGCTTTACTACGTTTTCTCTCTCTTCAATTAATAAAATCTCAATAAGTTTATATTCAAATAGTAATAATATTTTTCACAAAATATGAAAATTCCAAGCTCTTGATTATTATTGTTTAACCATAGTTAATTTAAGAAAGCATTGTACCCAACCACATACATTAAAAAGCAAATAAATAAACAGAAAATATGTTTGTAAGAGTGACTGAGAGCGTTCAATGCAAATAAATAAACATAAAAAAATAAAATAAAAACAAAAATCCAAAAAATAGCTCTCTCCTATATATATATTTTCTTCCATTTTGCCGATGCTATGAGAGATTCGCCCTTTGATTTTTTGCTACTACGAATTTAGCTTGCAATCGGGTAAGGTCTTTTTCTTTCTAATCATCGAAATCTGATCATGAATCAAGTAAAAGTCTTTCTTGTTACCTGGATTTAATCGATTTTTTCTGGATTTTTTTCAGTGATCTATTAGCTTTTTTATTTTTAATTTTTAGATTATAATATAGGAAATCGATTGATTGAATACAAAATTTTCGATTTTAGCTTGGTGGGTTTTTTGTTAATGCATTGATCGGGCATAGTTTATGTTTCTTTGAATCGATTGAGTTTTTGCTTTTTGCTGCGGAATTTAGGTTTTTTGTGCCGGGAATTTCCATACATGAGGTGTTGAGATATGAGGATACGATCCTTTTAGATTGTAAAATATGATGTCATTCCTACTTTTTTTTTTGTTTGCCAGTGATTGATCTAATGAGCTGATTATGAATTTATTTTCAATTTTTTGATTTTGTATTGTAATTTTATCTCGGTCGATATCTTGATAAACGAATTTACATTGTTCTTGCTTTGGATGCAGCTTAAAAATGGCATCTATGGTTCTTAAAGGTAGCAGTAGTAGTAATCCAGTGTCTCCATTGATATCAATTCAAGAGAAAGGTAGTAGGAATAAGAGGAAGTTCCGGGCGGATCCGCCTTTAGGTGATCCGAATAAGATTATAACTTCACCTCAAGACGGGTGTCCGAGTTATGAATTTTGTGCCGAGAAGTTTGACATCAACCCAAACCATGGTCAGGCTAGTGCATGCGACTTGTGTGGTGTTAGTGACTTGTGTGGTGTTAGCGAAGATCATTGCAGCGGATTAAAACTTGACCTGGGATTGTCTAGCACGGTAAGTTCTTCCGAGGTTTGGCCAAGTCGACCTAGAGAGGAGCTAGAAGCTGATGGGTTCCAGGATGCTGATTGGAGTGATCTCACAGAAACTCATCTGGAAGAACTTGTTTTAAGCAATTTGGATGCGATATTCAAGAGTGCAATAAAGATAATTGTTGCTTGTGGTTACACTGAAGAAATGGCTACTAAGGCAGTCCTGAGGTCCGGCCTATGTTACGGTTCTAAAGACACTGTCTCAAATATAGTGGATAATACGCTAGCATATCTTAGAAGTGGCCAAGATAGTAATCCTTCAAGGGATCACTGTTTCGAGGATCTGAAACAGCTGGAGAAGTATATATTAGCAGAATTGGTTTGTGTTCTTCGAGAGGTTCGTCCTTTCTTCAGCATTGGGGATGCAATGTGGTGCTTGTTAATTTGTGACATGAATGTCTCACATGCTTGTGCTATGGATGGTGATTCAATAAATGGTTTTGTTGGCGATGGAGGTTCAAATGGGAGATCTTTTACTTTCAATCACCCCCCGTTGAAGACAGAAACTAAAACTTCTGAATTGAACCTTCCGACTCCTTGTAAACCTGTTCCATCTATTCCTTGTTCCCATATTTCACTACCGGAGGTACCATCTTTAGGAATCAATAACACAACAAAATCAAAGAATTCACTTGTTCTAAGTGGTATAGTCTCGGAGAAGGAGGGATCAAACTCCATTTCTGACAGTGCTGATAAAACATTCTCTGCAGCAGGAACATCTCAGTCTTCAACAATGGAAGAGAAGTTTGTGGGTAGAAAGATTCACTCTTCCAAGAGAGATTATATGCAAAAGTCACTTCATCCGGATAAAAACTATAGGACATATGGATCTAAAGGGTCATCTAGATCTAAAATGAACGGTTTTGGAGGTTTAATCATGGACAAGAAACTAAAATCAGTCTCTGAATCTGCTGCTGTTAATGTAAAAAATGCATCCTTGAAAATTAAGGCAATGGGAGCTGATGTCCTTCAAGATAATGGGAGTCACAATCTTTCGGTTAATTCAGATCCCTCTTCTTCTGCAACATTTTGCTTAGATAATGGTAATCATACTTCTCCACCAACAAACATGCCACCTGAATTACCACCAAGGAGTAACCCGCATTCACCTGCATTATCAACTGCCAATACGGAGCTTTCCCTCTCATTGCCCTCCAAGAGCAATTCAACTGTTGTGCCTAATGTTTCTCATTCCGAGGCTACTAATTCGATCTTTGCTGGGATGTTGAATGATAAATCCCTGGGGCAATGGGCCCCTCAAGATAAGAAAGATGAGATGATTCTGAAGATGGTCCCAAGAGTGCAGGAACTGCAAAATCAGCTCCAGGAATGGACAGAGTGGGCCAATCAAAAGGTTATGCAGGCTGCTTGTCGACTAAGTAAGGACAAAGCTGAACTCAAGACTTTGAGGCAAGAGAAAGAAGAAGTTGAGCGGCTTAAGAAAGAGAAGTTGAGTTTGGAAGAAAACACTAAGAAGAAGCTCATTGAAATGGATGTTGCTTTGTCTAAGGCTAGTGGGCAGGTGGAACGTGCCAATGCTACTGTCTGCAGGCTTGAGATGGAAAATGCAGCACTACGGCAAGAGATGGAAGCTGCAAAATTACATGCAGTGGAGTCGGCAGCAAGCTGTGAGGAGGTATCAAAGAGGGAGAAAAAAACACTGATGAAAGTTCAGTCTTGGGAGAAGCGGAAAGCTTTGCTCCAGGAAGAGCTCATGACTGAAAAACGCAAAGTTGCCCAGAAACAACAAGAATTACAGCAGGCTAAAGTTCTCGAAGAACAGCTTGAGGTATGTCTTCATGAAAGCTCAATTTCCAAGAATATCTTTACCTCTACTCTCTCCACAAATTCGCTTCGTGAAAATGTGATTTGGTACCATTGACGTAGGTGATTTGGATTTCTGATAATCGACCTGAGTATACTTAGTAAATTTTGTATGTTATATATTTTGAATTGTCAGAAGAAATTGCCAATCTGCTCCGTAAGGTAGTTCATTTATGAGATTGTGAAAAGTTCTATGATGGTTTGACACCATTTATGGAGTCCCCAAAGTGTTGGATCTAAATTTCTTTTGGCATGGCAGTGTCTTGGTGCCCTTTATTTCGTTTAGGTGTTACTTTCACATCATAATAAGTGCAGCGGACAATTGGGAAACTCCTTTGAGATGACAAATGGATATGGTACACACATATATCGTGCACTTACTTGTAATAGGCATATGTTTTTGCTAGTAAAATTTTTAATACAAATCCAAAAGAATAGAAGTCCAGAGATTTTCAGATAATCCATTGTATGACATGCTAAAATAGTATAATTGCCTATATTACTCTTGATTTGCAAGTCAATTCTAAACTTAAAGTTCTTCATGTTAGATTATTTGTTATTACATTTTTTTATTTTGGATTTTGATGTTAAAGTTTTTGGATAAAAATCGGTAGAAACTGATATTTCATACATCCTAGGATTAATTTCTTATTATATCCTAAACATTTGGTGGAGTTATCTTTTAGCATTTTCAATTCACCTTGTACATTTTCCCATAGTTTTCAATTCAAGCTTTTTTTTGAGAATATTCCCCCCCTTTTTCCCCTCGAATTGATTGGATGTAACATATCAAATTACGGTTTCAAGCCACCGCGTTTCAGGAATTTGAGGTATGATGCTTGTTTGTTCAAGAAGATGAACTTTGGCTATTTGTGGGTGATTCTTCATTCTTATGATTATGGCTTATATGTTATTGTCCTACTCATTGAAAAGGGAAACTATCACAGGCTAGATTAAAACAAGAAGAGAAGGCAAAGGAAGAAATACTTACTTGTGCTTGCTTAGTACGAAAGGAAAGAGAAGAAATCGAGGCTTCAACGAAATTGAAGGAGGACATGGTGAAGTCAAAAGCCGAAATTAGTTTGCAGAAGTACAAAGAGGACATTCAGAGACTCGAAAAGAAATCTCTCAATTGAGACTGAAGACAGATTCTTCTAAAATTGCTGCACTTCGAAGGGGCATCGATGGAAGCTATGCCGGAAGGTTTACAAATAACAGGCATGATACGGGTCAAAAGGAACCTCGAACCCCTCTTATGGTGATAGATTTTCATGAGTTCTCGGGGAAAGGAGTTGTGAAACGCGAACGTGAATGTGTGATGTGCCTTTCGGAGGAGATGTCGGTAGTGTTTATACCATGTTCTCATCAGGTCGTTTGCATTGCGTGCAACGAGCTTCACGAGAAGCAGGGAATGAAGGACTGCCCTTCTTGTAGGAGTCCGATCCAGCGGCGTATCAATGTACGTTATGCTCGCACATAAACATTTAATATCGAAAGTTGAGTAATATGAAATAAATGAATGTTTGTGGGACGGGACTCCTTTTGAAATTGAAATAATCCATTTTAGTACCTTTTGAGAGTTTGAGACTATTGAGTTGCATTAAGGTACAAGATGATGCTTCATTTCATTTCTTGTTACTGCTAATTTGAGATTCTCTTTGGATGATGAGTTCTATGGCATCATGTCAAAATTTACCAAATTTCGCCGTTAACGTTTGATAAAATTAAATTTTTTATAGCATTCACCCTATTTCGGAAATAATCTTCGAGTTGGATTATTTTTGGAAAATTTCCCCCAAAATCATTTTCTCAGCCATTTTATTTAACTATAGTTTTACTTAAATGTGATATTTTTTTAGTGTATGTATATAGGGATAAGATCATGTTACACAATGTAATTTTTTTTATGTTTACACATAACCATTAGATGAATGAAAATAAATGACTGATATTAACGATAGGAAATGAGAAGATATTCATTGAAAAAAAACGAGTTAATCTAAGCCATTTATTTTTACTCATCCAACGATTCTAAATTTGTGTAAAACTTAAGTGGATTTTAACCTTATTTATATATATATATATATATATATATATATATATATATATAGTTCAACTTTAATGTGAAACTATTGTTTTTGTTTTTAAATTAATTTAAACGGTTAGAAAATATTAATGAATACATATTTGAATCTAGATTGCCTACATGAGTTAATTTCTATAACCCGTTTTCAAATTTCATTTTTATAATTTTGTATATGTTATTTTTTATTTTAAACTCAAAGGATATAAATAAAATTATTATTATTATATATTATATATATATATATATATATGAGGTGATTACCATACAATTACTATTATAAACCAATTGATTTATACCTTTATAAAGACCACTTGTAGTTTGTGTGTCACATCATAAATCAACTTTATTTATAAATTTTACACATAGAATCATATTATAAAACAATTATAATTGATCTAAATAGACAAATTTAAAGTAAAAATACCAAGTTTTCTCGAAAACAACCAATTAATTTATTAATTAACGACGAAACAAATCCTTTTTAGTTCTCGTCCGACAAGTTATCCGATTCATCACTCGACGAAGTTGAAGGGTAGCCAATACCGTGTCGAGTGTTTGGAAACACCACGAAAACCGATCCCGAAATCGCTCCGATAACAGGCGGCAAAACCATGAGCAGAACCTTCTCGGTGGATTCAAAAGATGGATAAAAACACTGCACGGTGTTGGAATCCAACAGGGACAGAACAGCAAACACAATGACGGAGAAAAACGCATGAACGAAATCTCCAACCCTCAGCTTGTACTTCGATAACTCGGCCGAACCCGAACTCGGCCAGAGACCGTTAAACGTTGCGATACCGTAATGAACCATGCCGTCACCGTCTTTGTAGCTGTCGGTAAAGCAAGAGAAAGCACAAGAGACGCCACAAATGGCAATGAGGATGCTGGTGAGGAACTTGTTCACAGGGCTGCAATGGCCGTAGTTGGTTAAGACAGGGTTAAGGAACTGGAATACGAACACGGTTCCGGTCGGAAGGAGCTTGATAAGGTTCCCAAGACCTGTCAATGTTCTGTCCGAAATCGAAGTTGATGAAGAAGAAGCTATTTTACTGCTGGATTTAGCCATTTTTTCTCCGCAGTTTTTCTCCTGGTTAATGCTTAGCAATGATCGTCTATTGAAGATTAGTATTTATAAGTAGAATTATGACTATTTTTTTGAAATTTTGATTAATCATTTATATACGGGTAAATTACACATTTAGTACCTAAATTATCAGTTTTATTTCGTTTTAGTGCCTAAATTAAAAAATAGTAAACTTTAGATATGATTTTGAAGCAAATAAAAGTGTAGGTACTAAAACGAAATAAAAATGATAGTTTAGATACTAAATGTGTAATTTATACTAAATATATTTATATCATGTTTATATATTTTCTTGAATTATATTTTATATTTATATAGATGATGATATTGTTTATGATTGGTATTATATTATAGGGTAAACTACGTATTTAGTATATAAACTATCGGCTTTAATTCATTTTAGTACTTCAACTTTTAATTTTTTTAATATCATACTTAAAGTTTAGTTTTTGTTTCATTTTAATACTCCACCGTTAAGTTTTGAAAAAAAATAAAAGTCTAGGTACCAAAACACGTTTAGTACCTAAATCATACTTAAGTTAAAAAAATGATAATTTATGTACTAAAATAGATCAAAATTGATAGTTTATGTATTAAACGTGTTAATTTTTTAACGATAGAGTATTAAAATGAAACAAAAAGTAAACTTTAGGTATGATTTTGAAAAAATTAAAAGTTTAGGTACTAAAACAGATCAAAACTAATACTTTAAATACTAAATACAAAATTTACCCTATGTTATATTATATATTTTGAGGCATTTGTGGTATAGTTTCAAAGAGAGTTGCTTGCACGTAAAATTGGTGTAGTAGGGGGATTGGCTTTGCTTTTACTCTTCGTAAGCTTTGCCCACACCTGTGCTTTAAGATTGAAGTTTGTGTTTTAAATTTTAAACCCATATTTTTTTAATTATCGATATTCGATCCGATTAATCGTAATCAAATATTATAAAAGTTATTTTAGATGTGACACTCCTATTTAGGAATGAGTATTTAATCGAGTCAAGTCAAAAAATTTCGAGTTACTCGAGTTGATAAATATTATTCTATAACTTTATTTGAAAATTTTCGAGTCAATTCAAGTTTATGAAATTCGAATGTAGTCAAATTATTTGAGTTTATATTTAAATTTAATTGTAAATATTTGTAATATTATGGTACTAATTGATTCCAATTTAAACGGCTTTCTATAATCACATATATATTTCTTTTTTTTATATGATATTCATATATCATGTAGTGTTGAAGGACTGGACTTGAACTTGAAAATCAATACTAACTATTATAAAATTTTGAGTTATTCGAATTCTGTTTTATAACTCAAACTTTATTTGAAATTTATAGAGTCAAGTCAAGTTTAAGAAATTACAAATCAAATCAAGTTAAAAAATTAAATTTTTTAATCGAATCGACTTTTTTTACCCCTACTCTCAACAACATTTGTTCCACTAACAACACTGAAATTCAAGCTCCTAATTTTGTTTAATGAATTTAATATTCTATTCCACTAGATAAAAAAACACAAAAAGGAAAACAATGAGTTAATTAACTATTTTCATTCATATAATGGTTTCAGAAGAATTTCGGTGTTGTTAGTTGATTAACTCAATGTTAGCCAATTTTGACAACATGCCAAAGCTTCTACAGTTGATGGATGAAGTCTATTACGTTGTGCATTCACCAATCTCCTCCTGTACCAAAAGTAGACTCCGAAGCAACATTAGAAACCAGAATGGCATAAATATCTCTTGCAATAGTTTGCAATATAGGAAATTGTGACCCAATTGTCTTTCACCAAGTCAATATATCAAAGTCTGACGTCCTAAAAATAACATCCACTTCTAAGTAACGATCTAACTCAATCTGATTTTTGTTTTATTTTGTCTCTTCCTTGAAACATAAGCATCAAAATCACCGGGTTATCCAAATCAACTGAAACACTATCCAAAGATGCACCGTTGAAGGGTTGAGGTTCATTCTTTGAGGAGGTCATTCTTTCTTCATACTCTGTGACCAAATCTCGACATAGTTGCACAATTCTTTCAACTTCATGTTCAATAGTAACCCCATAAATATTTTCAAAGTAATACTCCAACAATGTTGTTTTGTACCTTGGGTCTAAAACTGTGGCAACACCCATGATACCATTCATATCATTCCAATATTTTTCAAATTTCTCCAACATTTACTTTTCTATTCTCGAAATAATGATATTACTATGTGTAATCCACCCATTCAATGCCACCCTAATCCTACAAATAATCGGAAAATAAAGATTTTTTTATTGTATATTTTGTACCTGAAAAACCTTCGGTGATCTCGTAGAATAACTTCAGCTTATCACAAATCACCGATGCAAAAGCCCAATCATCATCAGTTGGTAAGTGCTTGTACAAAGGATCATGACGTAACTGCACACAACGAGCAAAAACATCCTTATAAGATAAAGTTGTTTGGAGCATCAAAAAGGTAGAATTTCATCGTGTTCTAACATCAGAACATAACCTTTTTGTAGTTGAAATACATAATTTTCGCCGCCTCTTCAAATCTTGTACAAAAAATAATATAGACATCAATTAATATCTTAGAAAACAATTGAAAATTGAAAATTGTGATGGACATTCATTTCTCGTAAACTTAAATCAAAAGTTGTAACTAATGTATACAAATAATGATAAAGAATATCATAAAGGGTAATTAAATCAAAATCTTGGGCTTATGCATTTAAATTCTAGTTCCATTTTCTTTAAATTTCTAACAGAATTATCAGATGCAGGTCTTATCTTTTTATCAAAATTTCTTTCCTACCACTAAACAATAACATTTACCAAACTAAACATCATCCACCACTTTCCAGCGAATCAATCAGCTGTATTTGTAATGCGAGTCCTCAGCTGATTTCATTTCCATCTAAAACAGCTTTTACATAGCATTTTAGATTTTTCACTGGGGGTGCAAGCAAATTAATAAGGTGCAAGGTTCTCAACATATACAATATAATATAATATAATACTAAAAAGGATAACCCAATGTGTTGAGAGTTAGTAACTAGTATGGGACATTCTTGGGCAAATTAATAAGGTGCAAGGTTCTCAACATATACAATATAATATAATACTGAAATGGATAACCCAATGTATACAAATAATTCTGTTTCTGAAGCCTTAGATGACTCACAATAGAATTCTACTGGAAAATATAGTCCTCGGTTTAAAAGTAACGATGCACCACCGGCGAAGTTCCGACTCACTTCAGGGAATACGATATTGACACTGAAGACAATGTTAACACAATGTCAATTGCAATCATCTAATATGATTCACCTCTCAATATCAACAGATCAAAATTTAATAAAATGATTAAAAGACAATTTAATTATGATTTTAAAGTTTTTCGATCATATAATGCCCCTGAATTGAATTCACTGAATCATTTGTTTTTTTTGGGAGTTGTTCATTAGTTCTCATGTTTTGAAATTTCACAATAAAATAATTTCGTTGAAAGGATACGCCAACATCTTTTTGCTATTGTTAGGGCTCTTTATCTTTAGTCTAAGTTTCTTATTCGTTTTTGAGATGATTGTTTAATCACAGCCACCTATATCATCAACAATTTATTTTCTCTTGTTTTGGATAAACAAATCTTCCTATAAAGTATAATATACTAATATTCCAGATTATAAACATCTTAAGATGTTTAAATGTTTATGTTTTTTCAAGTTCATTAGGATATTTTTCAGAAAGAGCCTTGCATGATATGTTTCTTGGTTATGTTGTTGGGATGAAGAGATACAAAGTCTATGTTTTCAAGGTCAAGTCTACTGCGGTGTCTCGAGATGTTGTGTTTCACGAAATGATCTTTTCATTTCATGCTATTTCTCCCTCAACTCATGTTATTAATCTATTTAAAAAAAATCAAAGAACAACTACAAAATTCTGTAGCTATCAAAGTAATTGAAAACCCTAACACCACAAATCCACGTAATTTAAGATCTAAAACAACGAACTTTTCAGTACTAACTAGGGTTAATATAGATGAAGTTTTGAAGAGGAAATACCCAGCGTATTAACCGACGTTCATTTATACTAACAACATAACAAACTATGAAAGAGGAAATACCCAGAAAAAGTTTTCCGTGTATTGTTCGATTCGAACAAAAATGAAAAGGTGAACAACATATTTGTAGACACTCGTTTTGTCGGGTAAAAAAAATATTATAATAATAATAATATTATTATTATTATTATTAATTATTACCTACCCACTAATCACCTATCCCACTACTACCCACCTAATTACCTAACCCACCACCATCATCTCACCATAAAAAAGGAAGAGTTTGCACTATAAAAAAGGAGAGATTCAGGGGGGATTACCATTTTTTTCGGGGGAAGAGAAAAAAATCAATGTAAGCAGGGGGTTTTTACAAAACAATGTAAACGGGTCCTTTACCCAGGAATTTTCGAAGAAATATAGAGAAATAAACAGCATTTCAGAGGGGTCTTTTACCTTCCATATTCAAGTTTTCCATTTTTTTTAAATAGAGTAAAAAAGGGGTGGTTCAATTTGATTTACCTTGTGTCTTAGAAGGCTTCGCCGGAGTCATGTAGCGGTTCAAAGAAAATTCTATGTAATGGGGCAGAACTTGCAGCGATTCTGGAAGCTTGTGAGATATTCGTTGTTTCAAGTTGGTTCAATATTTAGAATGGCTCCTTTTATATTTTTGGATTAATCATGCTAAGGTCCCTGGACCTTTAGCATGTTTTCGCGTTTTGGTCATTGTGCAGCGGTTTAATTACCCATAGATCCATATATCTTAGGTGTCCTATTACATCTTAATCACTAAATTAAGGTATAATCATGCTTCAGTCCTCAAACTTTATGCATGTATTTACAATTTGGTCATTATTTTAAGGGTGAATCACATTTTAATCCCTCATAGTTAGCCGCATATTTCTTTGGTCATTAATTTCATATTTTATTTATTTTTCATGATTTAAGCTACATGTTTTGTTTTATTTCATTTTGGTCATTTGTCACGTTATTTATTTATTTATTTCGAATAGTTCTAATGGTTTTTAATATTCTTATTTAGGTCACTATTTTTGTCATAATTTGCTTGCTCTTTTTTTTTATTTCAATTTGTCCTTTAAATTTTTAGTTATTCATTTTTTTTAATTTGAGCATTTTTTGTTTTTAATTTTAGCATGTTTTTATTTTATTTATTTTTATTTTTTTACTTCTTATTATTTTTTATTATTTTATTTAACATTTATTATTTTTCCCTTTGATTTATTTAATATTTTTTTATTTTTATATTTTTCCCTTTGATTTATATAATATCTATTTATTATTTTTTGACTTTTTAGGGATACTTTTCAACCAATCAAAGGTAAGTAATTTGAATAGAATGTTTTTAATTTTAATTTGAATTTTCGAAACTAAGACACCAGCAAATAAAATGGTACCGAAAGGGAAATTCAAGGGTGTTAATCATTCCTTGATTGTAATCGACTTCCGAACCCGACACATATCTGGTAAAACGCAGATCAGCCTAAATATTTTTTTAAATGATCGGTGGCGACTCTAACACTTTTATTTCAAGTCGAAGCCCAATTCCAGGCCCACCCGAAATATGCCTGCAATAATTTGGCGGCTCTGCTGAGGAATAAGGTAAGTGAGTTAGGCCATAATTAATTTTTAGTTGTCTTTTTAAGCGAAAATAAAATTTAAGTTTTAATTTATTTATTCGATTCTAATTATCTATCTTTGATTACTTTTCAAATAAATAATTTTACTGACTTTTTTCCCCCAATGGTTTAGCTTATTAAACTTTTTTCCATTTAAGGCTCTATACCTAAGCTCCAAACCCATTTTTAAGTGGGGGTGAAAGCGACACTTTCGTGAAAATTTATTCTCCGTAGGAGCCTAGCAAGTAACCTTCGTGATTCATATACCTTATGTATTCGTTTGAATTTATTCTCCGTTTGGGCATAAGGGAATATATCCTCTTGAGTTTAACTTAGTTCACACAAGCTTGTAATGGGCTTAGGACTAAGGTCTGGCAAGCCCAAGGGGGCAATTTTACTTTCTGTTCAAAGCATGCTAACTAAACAAATATGCGGTTAGAATTAATTTCTTGAAAAATCATTTTGGGTAGATAGTATGTCCGGGTAGGAATGTTATTTAATTAAAGCATGTTCGGTAGATATCATGACGGGGTAGGTGTTATATTCATCTTTGAATGAAATTTTTATCTGTACCAATTGTCTTACTTGTACTAACTAATTTCACTTCTTTTGTTTGTGTACACTAACTTATCTCTCTTCTTTTATTTTTTTAATTTTTCCATTTATTCTTTATATTGTATTTGCATTGGCATAACATAATGCAAGAGGTGTTGATCCACAAAAATGTGTTCGTTAAACATAAATAATTTGCATTAACGGACAAAGGGAGATGAAAAACGCAGAGGACAATCTGCAAGGTAACTATGTGTCACATTCAAGACGTGATGCCCACTATCAAGTACATCAAAAGTCAACTTTCCAAACATGGGTTGACAAAGGTTGCAGGGCAAGATGAGGAAAAAGGTTACTGACCTAGAGAGTCCCTTCAAATACAACAAGAACAAGATGGAGAAATGATAGCTGAAATTGAAAGCCGTTGTTGACAAACAAGAAAATGAACTTTGAATAACTCCTATAGATGGAGGGCTCCAATGGCGTTTTCGTTAGAGGACAGGCTCAACAAAGGATGAAAGCCAGAGATGTAATCATTGATACTTCTGGAAACAAGTACAAAAAATAGCTCATCACTTGCACAGTTTAGCCAGAGAAGCCAGAGCAGTTCAGCAGGGTATTCAGCCAGTGATAGACGAAGGCAGAAGACTAGTCAACCTGTTTCGGGTCTAGAAGACTTAGTCAGAATGTACCTTTAGGATGTTTTTGTCTCTTAATAAATAACACTTTTATCCCAATAAAGATTATTTATAATAACATACATGTTTTCGGATCAACGCTTCGAACATTTCATGCATTTTGCATCTACATTTCATTTTAAACATTTTCATAAACTTGAAATTACTTCATGGAGGATTCTATGAAGTGGTCTTAACCACATGACACCACATGGAAGAAAGATTTTAACAATTAAAGAAAAAAACTAAAATCAGTTGCACTGAGAACTGTAAGATACTCAAGCGCAAGATCCAAAACCTGATGGATTTAGGGGCATGAACAATCGAAGAAGGGGGCATTGCATCTACCATTTGCACTGAGAGCATTGTTTTGTTTGAATACGTTTTTGATCTTTCATGTTTACTTAATCTTTTAAACTACTGAATTTATGCTACATTCTAAAGTGAATAATTGAACGAGTTTTAATCTTTAGTTCTTTGAATATTAAATGAATTGAGGATTCTTTTAGTTATTCAAGAATTATGAATTTTTGTCATATGGAAAGATTAGACATGTCTTACCCCGTCTAAAAACCCCAAAATAAAATCTCTCGATTCTTTACCCAAAATAATTCATGGTCACTACCAAAGAGCCAAATTTTGAAATACCCTCTCTTTGAGACCTTGAAACATTCTTTTCAACCTTGAAACATTGCATTTATCTTTTTGATACAAAAAAAGACATACACATACCTTTCTTCGAGCTAATAAAGTCACATCATTGTCTTCTTAGACGCGAAACAAACATTTTCTTTTGCTAATAAAACCTAAAAGCATTGGGTACAAGATGTTTACTTGAACGTGAACCTTCCTGCAAGAAGACACAATGTGGGACATCTCGTATCAACTTCCTGAAGATGAGCCTGAACATTGAGACATGTTGGGAGCAAGAAGCAGAAAGAAGAATTAATTTATAATTCTATCATGCATTAATTACATTGTTTTCATTTGAATAAAATTAATTCTGAAAATATACCCCCCTCAGGATACCTCTTATGTGAGGACTTTTGTGTATGAGATGCTGAACGGTTTTGTTTCATTTATCCATATATGTATATATATATATACCTTGTTGTCCCCTTTTGAGCCTATAATATTTTTCTTCTGATTCAACCCTAACCAAGGATCACCCTTCACATTGGGGCAAGGTGGAAGAAATCTGCTCACATGAGTGAAGACATCAATCCAAAGGAGATACCAAAAGATGAACCAAATGCAAAGTACGAAGATCTAATCAAGAACAAAAAGAGAAAAGAAGACAAAAAAAACAAAGAAAAAAGCAAAGAGAAAATAAAAAAGAGAAACAAAAATAAAGGAACAAGCGAAGGAAAAAAGAAGGTAAGACGCATATATAAAGATTCGCTCGATTCAAATGACGCATCGGATTCAAATTATAATATTGATCAAGCACAATCATTCCAGAATCACTTCACTCGAAGACCATGGAGCATCCGAAGAAAATCAAGAGAGACATATACGAGCATATTCAAAGTGAGCAAGACAGGATTGAAGGCATCAGAATGAATTGATCCTTGGTTCAATACCCTGAAACACTTGTTTGGGCCTACTTATCCTTTCTTTCATAACATGAACCATTGCCTACATTACGTGCCTTAAAAGTCCCTTATAATCATACATGGATTTCTAAACATAAGAGACTATCTTCAGATTTCATCCAAGCCCATCAGGATTAATTTTTATTTGCAAAAAGTTTTCTAAAATATTTAATGTATGATATAGAAAATAAAAAGGGGGGTTTAAGACGTAAATTCTAAATGACGTCTTAAAACCAAAGGAGGATTCGAGTTGAAAACTTGAAAAGGCGACTCGAATATAAAAATTGTGCAGCTGAGACGATCACACAAATTCCTTGTTAAGGCATCACACAATCCAAGTGTGACCATGAAAGCTATGAGTTAGAGAACACTTCCAGTAGGGGAGCATACAAGCTACCCCTTCAAATCAGTGAGCATCAATGAAACAAGAATGTCAAACTTTTGACCAAACACAATAACTGAGATTTTTTATTCTTTCCTTACTTAACCATTTCCCAAAGATAGCTTTGATCTTGACACTTCTCAAATAATTATAATTTATTGAAGAATTAATAGTGTAATTAATTCTCTGATATCCAATTAACTCTTGTTTTATGATTCGTCAATTGTAAAACCTAAAAAAGGGCAATATTTTCTCAAAATCTTTGATTAAACATTTTTTCTTCAAAACTCTTTTAATTGATATTTTCAGACTTTTGAAAATAAAAGAAGAAGAAAAACGTTTCTTAAACAAGACAATCTCTTTGGAGTAGATCTTGGTAGATGACATGTGGCTCTCAGACATAAAGCTCATGCTTAGAATCAGTGTTGAAGCAAGAAATGACGAGTGATGGGGCATCTTTGGAGATTCAACATCAAATGTTGGGGTATCTTTGGGGATTCAACATACTGATGTGAACGATCAGATCTTCTGAAAGCCTTTCCTCCATATGCAGGAACTAGTAGACAAAGAATGAGGCTCTATCTAAGAGATAAAACAAGAACTAATTCATTTTGCATACATCTTAGACATACTAAAGAGCATCACATTTATCATTTTGTTCGCATACATAATTTTTGTAGCTTTAAAGTCAAGTTTAAACTTCAAGATGAAAGATACTCGATTCAAAAGCAATTTCAGAAATCTATGGTGGTTGCTTAACTCAGCAACGAGGAGCTACACCAACTTGATGTATTGAAAGATCGACAGATCTTAGAATCAAATTCTGACGGGTTCGAGAGCCAATTCAGAACGGATCCAGTGCTTAACTCAACGACGAGTGTCTAGTTTTTCAGTTAACATTTTCAAGCCAGATTTCAGTTCCATGACGGATGATATCCGGTTGACAAATTTACCACTTGGCTCTCCCATGAAGGGGAGTCATCTAAAGAATTATGATTGGCTTAGACCCGCGAAGGGGGGCCATCCTTCATTTAGAGGAAATTTGCAACACATCTTAAGTCGATAAAATTTATCTGTCAACAAACAACTTTCCAATTTCATTCAGAGTCAATTTCAACTTCACAACGAAGGATATTGGACTCGAAACAATGCAACTTATACAAGATTAGATTTCAACTTCATAATGAAGGATATCTAATTCAAAGCTCAATTTCACAGCGAAGGTTCATCCACGATTTAAACTTCACGATGAATGATATCGTGCCCTAATGGATTGACTTAGTTTCACAACAAATGAGTCATCTGTAATAATAGGGGTTATCTCTCAATCCTATTACAGTATAACTCAAGGTGAGAAGGGCTATCTGTCAACCAAAACCTTCGAGTTCGATTACATTCAGCTCAAGGGCATATCAAATTTGCAGCATAGCTCAAGGTGAGAAGGGTTATCTGCCACAAACAAACCTTCGAGTTCGATTACATTCATCTCAAGGGCATATCAAATTTATAGCATAGCTCAAGGTGAGAAGGGATATCTATCAACAAACCTTCGAGTTCGATTCCATTCAGCTCAAGGGCGTATCAAATTTGTAGCAGAGCTCAAGGCGAGAAGGGTTATCTGTCAACCAAAACCTTCGAGTTTGATTACATTCAGCTCAGGGGCATGTCAAATTTACAACATAGCTCAAGGCGAGAAGGGCTATCTGTCAAAAAACCTTCGAGTTCGATTACATTCAACTCAAGGGCATATCAAATTGGCAGCATAGCTCAAGACAAGAAGGGTTATCTACCAGCAACAAACCTTTGAGTTTAATTACATTCAGCTCAAGGGCATATCAAATTCGCAGTATAGCTCAAGGCGAGAAGGGCTATCTATCAATAAAACTTCGAGTTTAATTCCATTCATCATAAGGGCGTATCAAATTTGCAGCATAGCTCAAGGCGAGAAGGGCTATATATCAACAAACCTTTGAGTTCAATTCCATTCAGCTCAAGGGCGTATCAAATTTGTATCATAGCTCAAGGCGTGAAGGGCTATCTATCAACCAAAACCTTCGAGTTTGATTACATTCAGCTCAGGGACATGTCAAATTTTCAGCATAGCTCAAGGCGAGAAGGGCTATCTGTCAACAAAAAACTGTCAAGTTCGATTTCATTCAGCTCGACGACACATCAACCACATGGTAGCATCGAGGAACTACTTTCCAGAAGAATTTTCAAGTCGAAGTCTTTAGATCGAGAAGAAGACCAAGTCCCAATTCCAGGCACAACCCGAAGCCCAATTACAGTTGCTCTCAACACAAACATATCAAGTTTCCAAAACCAAAAAAGAAAAATCAGACACAAACTGATTGCCTTTTTTTATCTTTGCCCTATTTGTGTCAACACAAGAATGCGCAAAGAGGGGAAGCTGTAGACACCCGTTTTTGTCCGGGTCGAAAAAATATTATAATAATATTATTAATTATTAATTATTACCTACCCACTACCCACCTAATCCACCACTACCCACCTAATTACCTAACCTACCTAATTACCTAACCCACCATCATCATTTAACCATAAAAAAGGGGAAGAGTTTGCACTATAAAAAGGGAGGAGAGATTCAGGGTGATTACTATTTTTTTGGGGGAAAGAGAAAAAAATCAATGCAAGCAGGGGTTTTTACGAAACAATGTAAACGTTTCCTTTACCCAGGAATTTTTGAAGCAATATAAAGAAATAAATAGCATTTCAGAGGGATCTTTTACCTTCCATATTCAAGTTTTCCTTTATTTTTTTATTAAAAAATAGACTAAAAAAAGGGGTGGTTCGATTTGATTTACCTTGTTTCTTAGAAGGCTTCACCAGAGTCATGTAGCAATTCAAAGAAAATTCGATGTAATGGGGCAGAACTTGCAGTGATTCTGGAAGCTTGTGAGATATTCGTTGTTTCAAGTTTGTTCAATAATTTAGAATGGCTCCTTTTATATTTTTGGGTTAATCACGCTAAGGTCCCTAGACCTTTAGCATGTTTTTGCATTTTGGTCATTGTGTAGCGGGTTAATTACCCACAGATCCATATACCTTAGGAGTCTATTACATCTTAGTCATTAAATTAAGGTATAATCATGCTTCATTCCTCAAACTTTATGCGCGTATTTACAATTTGGTCATTGTTTTAAGGGTGAATCATATTTTAATCCCTCATAGTTAGCCGCATATTTCTATTTTGGTCATTAATTTCATATTTTATTTATTTGTCATGATTTATGCTACATGTTTTGTTTTATTTCATTTTGGTCATTTGTCACGTTATTTATTTATTTATTTCGAATAGTTCTAATGGTTTTTAATATTCTTATTTAGGTCACTATTTTTGTCATAATTTGCTTGCTCTTTTTTTATTTTAATTTGTCCTTTAAATTTTTAGTTATTCATTTTTTTTAATTTGAGCATTTTTTGTTTTAATTTTAGCATGTTTTATTTTATTTATTTTTATTTTTTTACTTCTTATTATTTTTTATTATTTTATTTAACATTTATTCTTTTTCCCTTTAATTTATTTAATATTTTTTTATTTTTATATTTTTCCTTTGATTTATATAATATCTATTTATTATTTTTCGACTTTTTAGGGATACTTTTCAACCAATCAAAGGTAATTAATTTGAATCGAATGTTTTTAATTTTAATTTTAATTTGAATTTTCGCAACTAAGACAACCAGCAAATAAAATGGTACCGAAAGGGAAATTCAAGGTAAGACAACCATCATTTTTTCTTTTTAATTTTAATATGTTTTTATTTTCTTTATTTTACTTCTTATTATTTTTTTGATTACTTTATTTAACATTTTTTATTTTTGCCTTTGATTTATTTAATATTTAATATTTTTTCTTTTTCTTTTTTTTCCTTTGATTTATATAATATCTATTTATTATTTTTCAACTTTTTAGGGATACTTTTCAACCAATCAAAGGTACGTAATTTGAATCGAATGTTTTAAATTTTAATTTAATTTAAATTTTCGCAACTAAGACAACCGAAAAATTAAATGATACCGAAAGGGCAGTTCAAGGGTGCTAATCCTTCATTGACTGTAACCGACTTCTGAACCCAACACATTTATGGTAAAACGCAAATCAGGTAAGATGGTGTTCGATCAGCCTAAATATTTTTTTAAATGATCGGTGGTGACTTTAATACTTTTATTTCAAGTCAAAGCCAATTCCAGCCCACTTGAAAGACGGCTGCGACAATATTAAAAAACTCTTTTCTGCAAATGAATTAGGAGCCTTGTACATCCAACGTTAGTAATTTGAATGCCTACTTAAAATTTGCAAAATTGGTTTACTATAAGGGGAAAAAAACACCACTTCTTTGACTACTCCATACTAAAAAATTCAAGTTTTAACAACCATGAAAACAATAAAAGAAAGCAATTAACAGTTCATGACAGAGTAAATCTATAAACAGAAGAAAACATGTCTACTTCGCATTATAATATAACATCAGTAGATTAGGTTTTTGCTCCATTTTTCCTAATTACTCATAAACCATCATTAAAGTCCTAACTGAAGCATCCCAAATTATTTTCAATACCATTAAGAAACAAAAGAAGAAGTTCCCAAAAGTTCCAATTTTCTTAATCTTATCCCTCCTTTTCAAGTGGCTACCATTTGAACAAGTAGATAAAACAGAACATGAACCATAAAAAAATAAAAGCTTGTAATAAAATCAATGAGACACACATATACTGAGAGAGAGATACCTGAAGTAGAGAAATGGGTTGATGGAATAATTGATGTGGCTTGTGAAGAAAGAGAAGAGAAAGCAAGGGCAAATAGAATTAAGGTATTGCAGCAATGAGTGTCGCTGTGTCGGTGCCTCGGTGGAGAATTTTACAAAGGGAAAGTAAAAAATTAAAATAATAATAATAATACATTAAGTACTCGGGTCGGGTAGGATATTTTTAATCCTAAACCCAACTCCAACCCGAACTCGAATATTTTAATTTAAAACCCGACCTGACCCGACCGAATCCGAATTTTAAAAAAACATGACCCGATCCAATCGGATCGGAACCCGTCGGGTTCGGGTCCCATTCCTATTCATATGTACATGCATACAAATTTAGAATCATTTTGAAAATTTAGTCACAATATATATATATATGTGTGTGTGTGTGTGTGTGTGATGTACAAATGATTGTTTCCTATATCTTATATACATGAGCGTGTTATATAACATGTAGATATATATGTGTATATATATAATTGTAGTAGTATAAATTGGTATTTCGTATTTCATGAACACTTGCATAGCGAATAGTCATATATATGTATGCAACATACTGGTATACCATAATAAATAATAGTAGTTATATTTGTGGGTTTTCATCTTTTAATTACATTGATTGATTTAATGTGCTTACATTTTGAAGAGTGGATCTGACACCTACTATAGAGGAGTATCGAGCTTTGATTCGTTGTTCGAGGTCTCAAATGGATAGAATATACGATATACTACCAATCACTCCTTCATTAAAAAAGAAATTGCTCCTGATGACTGGAATGAGCGAAGAGTGCGTTGTTAGAAACATCAAGAACAAAGGAGACAATTAGTGCATCTTTTGGACTGCTCTGAAAGAAGTAATTGATCGTCATCCAGACAAGAGAAAGAAGCTCGACTTGTTTTCTTTAGGGATTTATGGACTTTTCATTTTTTCGAAGGTGCTGGGGTATGTAGACATATCAGTTGTTGACTTGTTTGAGAGATTAGACAAACATGTAGACCCTGTTCCAGCCATTCTAGCCGAGACATTTCGTTCTCTGAGTTCTTGTAGACACGAAGGAGAATGCCGCTTTATAGGATGTGCACCCATTCTACAAGTATGGATTCTTAGTCACTTCAAGCATGTTGAAAGAGCATTAGGACGAGTCTTTTTAGATGGGTTTTTGTCTTTGAAGGATTTCCTTTCCAAATAATGGCCCGGGGGTTTCACCGAAGAGAAATGAATGGTTATCTTCAAGGATATAAGGGATGGTGATATATTGTGGTGAGCTTCGTGGAATAACTCTTCAAATATACTTTACAAATGTGGAGAGCGAGTATGGGTTCCTTTTCCAGGTATCTGGGGTTCTGTAGGATATACACTTATGCTAGTTTCTAGGCAATATGGGTCAAGGCAATTCATTCCAGCAACATGGGATTTCCAGGGTCAGTGTTTGCATTAAAAGGAGAACAATATAAAGATAAAGTCAAGGGGGTTGCTGAGGAATGATAATATACTCGTCGTGTGAATCTGTTCACCTTTGATCTCTAGTTATCTCAAGAGTCAAACAGTGGAGAATCAATCGAGTAAATGATAACATCCCGATGGTTAATCCTGAAAATATTCAGTCTATGGAAGAACATTTAAGAGTGGTTCCATCTTCATTAGAGCTAGCTAAGTGCTACTTCGAGGTAGAAAAAGGCAATAGAGAGTGACTTTGCAAAAATTAGAGGATGAAGTATATCAAAAAGAGTTGGAGATTAATATTCAGAAGGGTAGAGCGGATCAAATTGAAAAAAGTTGAGAAGCAACTTCGACTGGACTTTGAAGAGCTTCAATCATCCTACCAATGAATGGTGAAAGCCCATATATCTTCTAGTTTAAGTAAATCATCTGCTGAATGGAGACAAGAAGTGGCGAGCCTAAAGAGAGAAGCCAGAGAAAGTACAGAAGAGCTCAAGCAAAGTAAGTATCAGGTCAAGGTTCTATCGAAAGAAAAAAGTTCTTTAGAGCAAAGATTACAAGCGAATCAAGCCTAAAAATGAGAAACTGAAAGGGAAGATTTCAAGTTTAGAGGATGCATTACGACGATACCGTAGTCGGTAAGGTAGTTCGAGCCATGGAGAGGTTGAAAGTCTGAAGAAATAAGTGAGTGAGCTTGAGGCTATGGTTCAGGATTTTCAGAGGCGAGCAAATGAGCTTCCGATAGTTCCTTACGAGGGGGTATGTAGTGGCATTATCGGTGGGAGTAAGCTCAGGCGAGAGTTAAACAAAGAGATGACCTCATTACTTGCTATTTAGAGCATGCTCAAGGAATAACTCAATATTTGGTCAACTTGTCTCATGAAGCTGCTATTGTAAGTGAAGAAATGGAGCCCGAGGCTGAAGAAAACTAGAAGATTATGGAGTTGCTAGCACATATACAACAAATAAGAGAAATAGTGCAGATTTATCTGTGATATGTTCCAACCTTGTAATTGAACTTCGTTTCTAATATAAAAAGTTGTTCTAAGGAGTCATTCCAAGATTAACACTATACATTTTGCATATGCATTTTTATTTTTTGCAATGCATTTAATTTTTTTGCACCGCATTTTATTCATTCATAATCATATATTTCATATTCATTAATAAAATATCAATATTAACCAAAAGGACTGTGTGACAGAATACTGGAAACTTTCAAGCATCCTTATAATACCAATAAGAAAGGCATAGATGACAAAATCGCTCAAATTAAGAAAACTCAGCTAGAGTTGCAAGAGAATATGAGGAAGATGTAAAAAGACATGTTGAATGCTCAGAAAGAAATATTTGCTAAGTTTGCAAGTCTGCTAGAAGGAAGGAATCCTGAACATGGAAAAAGCCCTGTGCCCGGAACTATAACTGAAGGACCACTATACCTCCCAGGGTTCACCCCAACGCAATCTCAGAATGTTCAAGAAACACCTGTTTATACTAGGAAAGTACACATAAATCTAGTCTGTTCCTTTGTGAATTTTTATCCCTGATCTAGTTCACACCCTGAAGAACATCAATATCCCCAAGTTCCTGATCTTGATGAAGAAGCTAGGAAAGAACAAAACAAGCAATATGAGGAAAAATGAAAACAATTAGAAGGGGAAATAAGAGCTATTAAAGAAGATGCCAGTGTATATAGACTTGATGCTAAAGAATTTAGTCTAGTTCCTGATTTGGTTTTGCCTCCAAAGTTCAAGATTACTAACTTTGAGAAATTTGATGGTACTAGGTATCCCTCTGCTCATACTACGATGTTACAAGGCATAAAAAAGAAGTCTAATGAGAGCTTTAGACAATACACTCAAAGATAGAGGGACATGGTCGTGCAAGTTCACCCACCACTGGAAGAGGATGAGACAAATATTCTTTTCATCAATACCCTAAGGCTCATTTTTTTCACACACCTTATAGGTAATCCTTATCAAAGCTTTCTTGATATGGTTATGGCTGGAGAAATGATTGAAATGGCAGTCAAAAGTTGAAAGCTCGAGGGAGGGGAGTCTAATAAGAGATAACCAATGAGGAAGAAGGAAAATGAAGTTAGTAATGTGAGGAATATGAATTTAATAATATCACCGTGACCCGACCTCAGGGAACATGATTATCAACACAAAATGATAATAGACAAATGGCAAGGGACCAAAGAAGAGAATATAGAGAAAGGTCTTAATTCGATCCAATCTCGATGACTTATAAGGAACTGTTTCAGATATTATATGACCGACATGTGGTTTCACCTTATCATGTGTCACCAATGCAACCTCCTTATCCCAATTGGTACGATGCTAGTGCTCAATGCGAATACCATGCGGGGAATCCTAGACATTCCATCGAGAACTGCACTGTATTTAAGAAGGTTATTCAAAGACTGAGAATGAGGAATATCATCAATTTTGGCGATAGCAAACAACCGAATGTAGCACAAAATCTGTTACCGAACCATGCAGGAGTAGGGATTAATGCAATTATTGAAGAGAAATGAATGAAGATTATAAAAAATGTTAGTGAGGTGGAATCACCCATGCATTGGGTAGTTTCAGATGATTAAGGTCAGATTATTGAAACCTAGTCTATCATGTGAACAAATTATTAGTGAAGAGGTATGCCATTATCATAATTGTGAGGGACACGTCATACAATAGTGTCCTGATTTCCTAGCTCTGGTACAAAAAATAATGGATAATAAAGAAATTGAGTTTTTTAAAGAAGTTGCTGAAGAAGAGGAGGTGGAAATTTGTGCTTCTGAAAGGTCGTCAAAAGGGGTCTACAATGCTAGTTGTCCCCTAATCATTACTCCCAAAACTCGAGTGATAAAAAAGGTAGCTCCAAAGATGGTTATCACACCTCCATCTCTATTTCCATACAAAGATAATAAACAGATACCATAGAGGTATGATTGTCAGATGAGAGAGGTAGCAAAAGAAATTGAGGAAATAGGTGAGGTGGGACATTTAACCAGAATTGGCAGGTGTTATTCTCTTAACCAACCTAAAGTGCCTGAGAAGAAGGTTACTATTAATAAGGGAAAACAGGTTTATTTGTAGATAAAAGAAGATGACCCTGTCATTAATGAACCTGTAACCGAGAACGAAGCAGTGGAATTCTTAAAATTCCTGAAATATAGTGAGTACAATATCATTGAGCAGTTACATAAGCTGTCTGCACGCATCTCTGTCTTATTAATTCTTCTGAGTTCAGAGGCCCATCGAAACACCTTTTTAAAAGTTTTGAACCAGACTTTTGTTTCGAAGGAGTTGCCCATAGAAAAGTTAGACTGATTAG